TACAATGGAAAGTTCCAAGCCAAACTAACTTTTGCTAAATACTTTATAAAAACAGCCTATAACTTTTCAAGCTATACAAGCCAAAGAATGACATTATCCGTTTGGTCAAACTTGTGCATCCTTTTGTGATAAGCAATCATCAAGAGTGACAAATCAACAATGGCATTATGCTTTACTCCAAGAAGAATTCCATTCCTCCATGTGGAAAATGTGTGAATATGGAATGGCTGCCATCCATTTGACAAAATCAGTTTAACAAAAATAATTATACTGCAGCCAAATAAATGAAGATTTCAGCAGTTTGAAGCCTACTTCACTGGTTTCATTGCCGATATTTGACTTATAACTCGTGTATGTATGTGTAAATATATATATATATACACACACACACGTATATAGGATATATATATATATATATATATATATACACATACACACATGAATATAGGACCGGTCCATATTTCATCCGTACAACCCCATTCTTCTAACAATCATTTGTTAAAATGAAACAATGGCGAATGTATCCTTTTGTAATTCTCTGGAACTGCTTTCGTACTTACACCTTGTGACTTACACCCAAAGATTGTTAACTTTCTGTTTGATGTCTAGCGTTGGTAACAAGAAAGTCCCTCCATCTCCCATTTGATATGTGCAAAGACACCTTTTTTTCTTCTCAAGGACCTGTTGATAACTTGTTTGTATCTCTACTTTCAACAGGGTGGAACCAGTCCCTTGCCTGCTGCCGACGACAACGCCATACGAGAATATTTGTGCATCAAAGCTTTCTTGGTGAGCATCCTTATTAGTTTAAGTGATCACACGATTTCGAGTGCAGTTTGGAACAAATAAGCTCGAGTAGATTTTTTCAAAGACTAGCAAAATTGCACTGGCCCGTAGGGTGAGTGCAATTTGTGGTCTTTGAAAAAATTCACAAGTGCTTATTTATTCCAAATTGCACGAGAAAAATAATGTGACTACGTATTAATAATATAAATGGAAAAATACGAGATAGCTTATCATAATTATTAGAAGCAAAGCGCGTGTATCAAGTGCAAAAAATAATTTATTCAAACCCTGCAAGTTACATTGTGCGTTCGGTCAAAACAATCGCGTACGATCAAACAATAGTATACAATGACATTTTCACTTCTTAAAGGCGCAAAAAAGTTCAAAGTCAGGCTAAAATGTTCAAGGAATTGTTCAGTCTGGTTTGTTACTTCTTTGCACTGAATTAACCCTCTTCTGCATTGAACTACCTGAAAACTGCATTTATCTTAACCAATCACAACTAGTAATTTTTTCATGTATCTTATTATGCCATAAAGCTACAGCCCTTCACTCTCCATCTGATTAAGGTGAGCTGGAGTATAGCGCACCCTTGTTATTTCAAGTTGATAAACTTGAGTCGCTATTAAAACAGCGTATGTATAATAACCGATGTAGGGCAAATTCGGATCCCACAGTTAGTTACATCATCGTTCGTTTATATCTAACTGCGATCGTATCAATTGAACTACAGGAGTCTCTTGATGCATTCAATGATTGGTTTCAGCATTTTCATCACAATATACCAGTAAGTCAAATGTTCTGTTCTTGCTTGTTCTTTGCGGGCTTTCAAATTGACATGAGGTTCTTACAAATTGTTTTTTTTTTTGGGTATGTTTTGCTTTTTTTTTGGTCAGCCAAGACCGCATGATGGAGCACATGCTAACTTCACGGAGAAGGTGGCGTATGAACAACGCCTTGAGCAGTACGAGGTATTGTAATCCAAAACAATCCGAACTTGTGTTGTGTCTCGTTGACGCTTAGTGATAGCCCTCGAAACTGATTACCACTTCAACTTACTCTGCCTTTATCGAAAATATAAGTAGAATGTGTTTGAAGTGAAGTTAGAGCAGGGTTTAATTCGTTACTCACGTTTTCCGAAAAAAAAAAAAAAAAGAGATACAGAAATGAATAAGTAGTTGATTGATTGTCGCTTTGCATACAATAGGTGGAATTTGGAAGATGGAAGAACTCGCTAGATATTCACACGAAGGTATGACAACTGTGTTGTGTGTTAAGTATTGCTTCTGTCACTCAGTGGTTTTAAAACAAACTTTCCTTTTAATTCGTTCGTTTAGACCACAATGGAAAAGATTTATAACGTTCTGCTATTTCCTGATGGAGGCTGGATGGTGGACCACAGAAATGTAAGAATGTGTTTGTGTATTGCTGTTAACTACGGTGTTGATCAGTTCATTTAAAACTAGTGGATAATGTGGATAATGAAGAAATTTGAGGTAGCTCCAGAGAGTTTCATCCTAATTATGACGTGCGCGTTACCAAAATGTAAAAAAATAGGTGTCGGACTGTTGTTTTCTGCGGTTAATATTGACATAAACGTTGTTGTTCTTGAGCTAAAACTCCTCAGAGAATGTACTTACTATCGGTAATTTGGCTGTTGTTTTAATTTTCTCCAACTTTCTTCGATGAAATCTTGCACAATTTGCATACTGAACGTCTGAATTTTGTCCTTTCGATCATTTTGGTTTTCTGCCTCTTGAGTTACAATTGATCTTTTTCATTCAATTGGCAATAGTAACAGTACAAATGTGTTGGAGAGCATGAGAGAAGTGTTACTTTAGCTTCTCGAGTGCTCATTGTTTTCGAAGCGAACATTATTTAGCATATTTTCTTTTCATTTTGAGCTCCTAAAGGTCTCCCTCTTTCGGGTTAGAACGGAAAAACAATCTTGAAAGCTTTAAAAACACGCGGTTAAACTCGAGGGGAACTTTCAGCCCAAGTGAAATTGCACACGTCATGCGATGGAACACGGCCGTGCGGTACAGAAGGTTTATTTTTTACCATGGTAACTCCTAAGGAAATAAGTAGGCCTTGCGCGGCGCGCGCTATGTTATTAAACAAGTTAACTAAAGATGAATATTCAACTAATAGAAAACGCAGCTAAAGGAACTTCGTTTTGAGTTTCAAGCCCAAAAAAAATTGAGATCAAGTTTGTTTCTGAGAGGCCATAATGTTGTTATGGTAACCCATTGTATCATAAAAATGATCAAACATTTTTGAGAAGTGATTAGACTTTCTTTTGAAACTATTTTTACGAGAACGCACGAAAATTTGTTGTAGTATCCATCTATCAAAGAGTGTGGATTTAAAGTTATAAATAATAGAAAGTCTGGCCCTATGTAACATAAGCTTTGCTGTGATATGCGTCTCTCAAAATTAAAAAGAAATGATTTAGAGAGGATTAATGGAAACTTTTTTAACCGCTTCATCTTATTGGTGAGCCTTATCCATAACTTTGCTCAACTTAGGAGTGTCTCTGGTAGCCTGCAGTTCAGAAGAGGACGCACTCCATTTTGTGTTTGTGATCTCTACTTGTTCATGGTATTTGCTCTGGATATTTTTTTCGAAAGTTATTTTCAATTTGGCGTCGCTTCCACAGAGGAATGATAATCCTTTTCATTAGCTTGGGCTCTCTGGTGTGTCAGGTGTCAGGGCTTGAATATGAAAAATAAAGGAAAAAATAATAGCACCATAATTTTTTTTTTTCAGGATGAAGAAGAAGACTCGCAACGCTCTCATCAACTTGAGTTGTTGAGACAGCTTTGTCTTCCACTAACTTGTTATCTTCTTCATAATGTTCTGTACTCAACAGAACAGTACAAGCAGGTACTTTCTTTGTCATTTCTTATTTGAAGACATTCAGTGGTCTTGCGGGCAACTTATGAATTATTATTATTTTGCAGTGTTTACAGCTCGCTGATGTTATATCCTCCGAACAATACAGATTGTATGAGGTATCATCTTTTTTTCTCAGCTGTTCATGCCAAAACAGATTGCGTTAAGACAAAGAACAATGGACATCGATATTCTCTAACATACTATCAACTATCCCCACAGTTCATTGTTAGTTTGGGAACATTTTACATTTTGCTTAACTAAAATCGCCATCTATCAACAGAAATAATTTCATTATAAAAACAAAATTCATCAGCTATGATGGAAATGGGATCTTATGCGATTCGCTTCATTCTTTAACCTCGACATATTTAATGGTTTTAACTTTCGAAGACTTTAACCCTTCTTCAGTCTATCTGTGCATAAATTTGATGATGTCTTTCATTTAATTTTGTTTTTTATTGTCATCCCGTTTTCACAGGTTTTCAGGAAAGACGAATTACAAAAGATGCTATCGCTGTTCCGAGACTCTTCGATTGCATTGTTGGGAAACAACCTGGATCCCCTTAGCTATGAAATCGCACAGAAGTGACAGGGTATCAAAATAGGAATAGGAACTTTATGTTGTGACGAAAAGATTTTTCTTGCTCGGGATCAGAGCAGGCAATCTCGCTCGGGCAACCAATCCGAACACAGGATTCTCTTCATCATGTGCACGGGTAGTGCCAGCTATGCAATATGATGGCTTATTATTTTCTCATCTCCTTCATAAGGGGGATTTGCTTGGAATAAACCAAATCGGAAATTTTTGGTTTTGGTTCCGGTTTACAAGTGTACGTGAGTTTTGTAAGACTATCAGGTAGAGAAGTTAGCCCCTAAGTTTGCATCAGGAACTACGAATTCAGTCCTCAGTATCTTCAGAATGAAGGACCTTCGAGCTCTTGTAGAGATGGGCAACGGTGAAAAGCTCTGAAAGTGAAGGTGCATGGTGCGAATCTTTCGAAAGAATATTGTTCGAAGCAAAAAGTGATATCAGTATGCACAGTCACAACTGGATCTGAGTAAAATGTTTATTCTATTAGCTCGCACATGATATCCAATTTCTGATGAGCCCATTTTTCTCTTTACTCACGTAGCCTACATTTCTTTGGTCAAAGATGTTTCCAACCTGAAAAATTAAGCTACCGAGTTATAAGCTCGATGTTCAGGCGCGTGGTATCTGAGAAGAGTAAGATGTGAATCAACTTCGACTCATAGAAATCGAGAGTGAATAATCTAGTTGTTGTCGAAAAAAACACTCGTCGTTCAAAACTAACTATTTTGTCTACAAAGGCACACTGTAAGTTGTGCCTTAGTGAACATTGCGAATCATGGCATATGAGTTATCAAGAACTTATGATGGCGAGCGGACAAGTCTTCCTTCGCTCTGTGTTGATTGTCGTTCTTCTAATATATATTTTCTGTATCTTCGATCTGCAGTGTAACTATCTCGTCCCCATCAGGTTTAATTTAGTCAATAAATGCGGCTACTTCCAGCTTGATATTATCCTGTTCAGCCACCTCAAATTAAAAGAGCCAAAACAATCATTTCCACAACTTACTATTAAGCGAGTCTAGTGGCACGTGTCGCAGCCATGTTGCTTACGTTCGACTTGCTGTGAAGGGATACTTCGGATTCAGGGCCAGCAGCCATGCGAACACCGACTCCACGTTTCATCTAAGTCGCCTGGTCATCAATTGAGATATCTCTCAGAATCCTGGACATCCCACGAAACTGCGCTGTTAGGAATGGTGCAGAATAATAGCAATCAGTTCGTTGCTGAAGCTCGCGATCTGCGGAAGCGATTACCATACTTGAAGTCAAAGGAGTTCATTCACATCCAAGAGCGAACTCTAGACTGGATTCTCAAACAAAACCAATTGTGCCCCATAAACACGACGACGGAGGCTTGGAAAAGTGACACGGAAAAGCCAACATGATGAATACTGACTTTCCCTTGATCATTAGAACACTAGTGGCTCAATTACCTGTACCATTAGTTTGAATAAGACACAGAACGAGCCAACGGACATACCAAGTTATTGTACTATCGAAATCCGAGAAATACGATCAAAAATAAAACATTGAACTTGAAAACGACATTGCCCCGGGGTTGATTAAACTGCTAGGAGAAACTATGGAACTCCCATTGCCTTCTATGTTTATCCTAAGCTTAAAGACAGGCACCGTCTTCCAGTCAGTCAAAGATCAACTGCTTCATCTTACTACAATTGAAGGCGTAAAGAATCTCAGTGCGTAGGACGGATTGGAAATCTGCAAGATTGACGAAAAAACCGGTTGAACGAGGGTAGCTGGGGCACTCTGTGTCGCAAAGGTGAAATCTAGTATTTAAAAGTTCAAGAGTAGAAAAAATTTTTTATTCATTTAAAACTCGCATTAAAAGGAAAAAAGAACGATAAAATGCGACATATCATCACTCATGCTTCTAGGAAACAAGATGAAGAAACTGACATCCCCCCTTCAAATTTTGCATGCAGTTAGGCACTCAGGGCGGATGCACAAAAATGCCCATTTTAAAGGGTGCAGCACTCTTGTTGCCATGGTAACAATGGCTGCTTATTTGAGGCCTGGGCCCTCATTTTCATACAAAAACGTCGCAAAAAAGAATGCAATTTTTATTTCTCTATTTCAAGCTAAATACAACATTACAAATTAGCACTTCTACCATACATAGTAACATCATTCGTCTTTACTTTGATTCATTCAATTTTCCCTGGGAGTTAATGTGAACGCACCAATATATTATTCATCTCGGTACAGTTTCGGTCATTTTTTTTGTCGGGTAAAACAGGGAAAACGTTTATCTGAATTTCTCCAAAAGTACAACGATTCTGGAACTGAAACTACCCACCTAACTGGTTATGGTATTCTAGTTTTTAAATATGTAAAAATCTCTGCGGGCCTGCCTCTACTTTTTAAAGGGGCAATTCGCGAACGAAGCTCAAAAATCAGATGTTGCATAATTTGGTGATGTATACATCTAATGTTCTCAACAACAAACGTTTCAAACAAATGAAACGTGCGAGGCTTTGAAAGAATGTTACCTTATGAGTAATATCCCGAAGTGAAATCTCGCCTCTGGTTGTCATCTTTTAAAAAAAATTGACCAACCTTCATGGAGGACAACTCGACTTAACTACAAACATATACCTCAAATCGTGAGCATATCATCCAGATTCTGAGTGCTGCACCTTCTTTCATGGGATTTTGAGCGATCCGAAGTCCTCTGAAGATACACTGTTATACTTATATGTCATTTAAAACATGTTGAAGTCGGCTGATCTACACGAAACTATCCTCACACCGGTAATTTGTTAAAAGCAATTGTTGTCGTAATGTTGTATTTAACTTGAGATAGAGAAATAAACATTTCACTTTTTTTGCGGTGTTTTTTTTATGAAAATGAGGCCCCAGGCCTCAACAAGCAGCCGTCGTTACCATGGCAACAAGTGAGCTGCAACCTTTAAAAAGGGCATTTTTGTACATCCCTCCTAACTGCCTAACTGCATGCAAAATTTGAAGGGGGGTTGAAAATTTTCATTTCCCAAGATGTTTGATTCTTACAGAGACTTTTTCCCATTAGCGCTAAGAGCACTGAATCCATTTTTGATAATAATATGCATGAAAAAATTACCCAGGTCTGATTGGTCAAGATAAATGCAGTTTTTAGGTAATTCAGTACAGAAGAGAGTTAATTCAGTGTAGAAGAGGGTCAATTCAGTGCAAAGAAAGAAACAAACTATACATTCTAATTGGTCAATAATCAGAGAAACTCACAGATAGCCAATCAAATGCAAGCCTTGGATGTCGCAACATTTGGACACGCTGAAAATTTGCGAGCGAAACAATGGCGGGTGTTTTAAGTAGGTTTTCTTGCGCTACCGCAACAATAATACAGCAGCTGAAAAACAGCTCTACTAACGAAAACACGGTAAAAAGCACTGCTTTTTGGTTGTCAGTTTGGAAGAAGTGGTGTTTGGAGAAGGAAATTGCCGCGTAAATCGAAAACTACGAGCCGACCCAGCTTAACAGTTTGCTCGAGCGATTCTACGCCGAATGAAAAACAAACATGGGGAAGATTATAAACCGGAAAGTCTGAAAGTAATGATTACATCGCTTGATAGACATTTGAAGAACAAAGGCTATAAACTGTCCATTATTCGCGACAGAGAATTCAGTTCCTCCAAACAAGTACTGGACGAGAAAGCGAAACAGCTTCGCTTAGCTGGCCGCGGGAAGCGCCCAAACAAAGCGCTACAACTATCCGAAGAGGAAGCAGAAATTCTCTGGAAGAGCGAGAAACTCGGTGGTTAAACACCAGAGTCCTTAATTCATACAATGTGGTGGCTACTTACTCAACAATTTGGTCTCCGTGGAAGGCAGGACTGTAGGTCTCGCAATCTCAGGGCGAGTGGTCCATTTTATCTCGATAAAACACAACAGCGGACCTGGCGATGAAACTTGGTACAAAGTCCAGCCCATGGGAGAAAGTAAAATCAACTCCATGATGAAAAATATCATCTCCCAAACCACCCTTCAGTCATCCGAGAAGCGGTTTACCAATCACAGTGCTCTCAAAACGCTCGTTAGCAAGATGAAGAAAGCAAATCTCGAGAGGTCATCCATTACAAAAGTCACCGGTCACAGAAATATTCAGTCTTTAGAGGACTACGATGAAGCCGACGAGGACGAACAGCGACAGCTTTCGTAGGCCATCTCAAAGGGAAATAGTACACCAAAACCCGTGCTGGTGGCGGGTAGTTCATCTGGTCCTTGTGCTTCAAATGCAGTAATTCCACACATGATGAACTCTCAAGCGCAGAATCTGATGAATTCCTTCACTAACTGCACTGTCACATTCAACCTTAACAACAAGGCCTCGCCTGATAAACCTCGCAAACGACGATTTCATTTCATCGAAAGTGATTCGGACACAGACTGAACAATTCCTTGAACTGTTTGGTCGGACTTTGAACTTTTTTGCGCCTTAAAGAAGTGAAAATTTCATTTTATCTTATTGTTTTGATCGTACGCGGTTGTTTTGATCGAACACACAATGTCACACTTCACACACACTTTTCACACTTTTATTTTTCATTTTCTTACTTATCATAAGATAAGATTTGACCCGCGGATAGCAAATGCTAATCGAGGCGGGTCAAATTTGTTTATTTATTTATTTATTTTTTACTGACTTCATTTAATTACACTGGAAATAAAACGAAGATGAAGAAACACGAAAGTAAACATATCCTCGTTATCTCCTTTACCGATTGCAGAAACCTTTTTAAAGAATTTTCAGGTACATCTCAGCACTCAATTCCTAGCAGTCTCTAAAGTAATTACCGTCATGGTCTCTATTGATGTAATCATTTGTTTCACAACGAGTACAACCGTGTACAAGACAAACATTCACTTCAATTACACATGTATGTTGACTTTTTTCCGGAAGAAAATGAACCATCTCACCGAAATGACGCGTTCTTTAGAACAACGCAGACATGAAGCGTTCAGCGTCCTAACACACTGCCCAATTACTAGGATGACGTGTATACTTTCATCTTCGGTTTTTAATCGCGCTCGTTAAAGGCTACGAGTACATTTATAATTAAGAAGTACTGAACAGAATCAAAGTAGAAGATTGCTCAAATATTGAAATAAACTTTTAAGGCCTCTAAATTGGAGAGGATGACAATCCTTGAGAGCCAAAGCTGTATTCTCTAGTATGTCATATTTTCATATTTGCCATTAGTTCGTTTATATGTCACTCTTTCGTGTTTAGTTTGAATGAAAGGGCCGATTGAGGCTTGCACCGTCAGCCGGGGTGCCATACTTAGCTAGGACCAGTTACTTTCAGAGGAATGTTTTCACTGACATCGTCATTTGTCCTAGCAGTTGGGCTTTTGGGTTCGTTTGGATTGGAAAAACATTCTCGTTCCACAAGAGTTAACGGTGCTTGTGTTTCGCCTATCGAAACGATGGGCGAAATGGTTGACATGGTGTTACTCTTTGACTGTTCTCTTTGATCCCTCTTGATTTTCGAACGACAGCGACGAAGCAATTTTTTAAAAGCACTACGATAAGTGCGGTTTAAACAGGTGTAAATTACTGGATTCAGACAACTATTTAAATATTCCAACCACTTGACTACGTTTAGGAAACTGAGAGGAATATTCGTGCGATTTGCATAAGATAAAACTACTATAAAGAACGGGAGCCAGCAGATAACAAATCCACCTATCACAACCGCAATCGTTTTTGCGGCTTTGATATCTGTGGCGTAGTTTCTTCCTATTTGCCTTGCTTGGTAACGTGCTACCAAGTAAATCCGAGCGTACATAACTAGCATAATGACTAAAGGGAGAAAGAAACTCAAGACGGATACGAACCATAAATAATTGGGATACGGCCATTCGTGCTCATCACTTGAAATAAGAACCAAACATGAAATGGTTGCAGCATAACACCAAACAAAGAATATAAGACAGATAACACGCCGTGTCGTCAAGATTTTAGGATAAGCAAACGGAGAAGTGATCGCCAACTGTCGGTCAAAACTGACCGCAGTCAAGTTCATTATAGACGCTGTTCCGCACAGAATGTCCATGCAGTCCCAAAATTGTTTTAGCGTGTCACCGTAAATCCATACATTCTGGGTTATTTGGAGAGTTAACCAAAAAGGCATGGCGATCAACGCAACCAAAATATCGCTGACTGCTAAAGAGATAATGAAAAAGTTGCACTTTGTGCGCAGGTCCCTAAACGTGTAAAAGCTTGCAATGACGATGAAGTTTCCTCCAAGGGCAACTGGCATCTGTAGAGCAACAAACAACGCTGCAACGATATTCGTTACTCCCGGGGTAATTTCGGTTACGGATGTAAACTCTTCGGTTTGGAGTGCATCTGGGGTTGCGTTTGTAAGATTCTCTGTTGTATCCATCTCTGAGAGAACAAAACAAGAAACAGGGTGTATTATCAATAATACAAATTGAACGTAATAAATAAATTGAAGGTTTCATTTTGTGATTACGGAGTAAGGCACACCATTTCTCTTGAGCGACAAGAGATCAGAATCAAATCCCTGGATTTTGAGGGGTGTTGTGACAAGCTCTAAAAAGCTGAAATTGACTAGCTCTGAAATCTACTCTTACTTAAGTGCCCTCGGCCGTCCAAAAAATAGTGCATCGAGGTGAAACTAATTAAACAGCGAACTAGAAGTATTCGCTCCGAATTTGCATGATTTGCCAATCGATTCACGGGTAATTTACGTACGGACAAAGAAACCTAATGTGCAACGAATACACAAAGGTTTAAACCATGGTGGTTGCGCGGATTCCTTTTGTTAAATCTTTTTTTCGGTGAGTTATATGTAATAGATCTTGGCCCTTGAAATTACCGTTCTGAAAAATTCAACGAAAATAAGGTTATTGAGCCCTAATGTCAATATTCTCTTTTATCTGACAAACGTGAAAAGTTCTATTTTATCGACACGTCAAAGCTTATTTATTTACATGACTCTCTTCACACCTGGATTCTGTATTGCTGTATTTGTTAGATTATTGTTAGATTACTGAATGTCACGCTAGCTCTCAGGTTTTACCTTGCAATTTGAAGTCTCTCTTAGTTTCCTTCATCACTTTCATCGGTTTTTTAGAGTTTCTTTGCTATATTAATGACGAAGAGTTCTTCCGACAAGCCAGTTGAGATGGCAGTGAAATGAAGGACTCCTAAAACAACGGGATAAACTTCGAATACTTACGGAAAAGATGACAGAAAAATGTTTTCCCATAGGAAAGAACTGTATTCAGTTTCCAAAACTCAGCGAGATGAGTAGGATGAATCAGCATTGGAAATTAATTACGGCTGTCGGAATAACTTATAAATAAGATTTAATTTGGAAAAAAAAAAAAACGCTTAATGTAGGCAACTTTCCGTTCGATGTTGGTATACTATGTATATCGGCTTCTCTTGAAATAAGGTTTGGGGCTTTTCCCGGCGGAGGCGACTCCACTTTTATTTTGCGAAGGACTCCGAAATCATTTAAGTGCAGAAATACAAATTTTGCCTCGTTTTTCAGTATGATTAGAAGTGGATCTGCTGAATTAATGTATCTGTTACCCGCAACCTCGCTCGTTGAAAGGAAGAGCGGTTGTTACTCCACCGGAACGTTAACAAGATTGATAGGATCTGTAGTTCATTTGAGTGCCTTAGCTACCGAACGATGAAATTAATACCTCAAAGCAGCTATGTTAAGTTTCGTTTTATAATAGATATATCGAGAAGACGACCAAGCAAAAGACGTTATCGAAATATCCTACGTGCTAAGCGTGTATAGAGGCTCTGGGCTCTTACAATAACCATAACGTCCTTGTAAAGCTCTATCTAGTGCACTTGATATTTTGATCTCTTTAACACAAAGCTAACTGTAGTTTTATTTTTTTAAATTGAAAAATTTTTTTTTTCATCGATAAGTAGGACGAACTCAGCATCCTCACGCGATCTTAACACTGAAAGGTAAAGTAAAACCTCTCTATGCAAGGAACACCCTCAGGACCAAGGCAAGTGTCCCCTGGGTAGCGGTGTGTCTTAACACCCCCCATCCCCCCTCCCCACACTCCCCCCTCCCAACATGAAGTAGTACGTTACCTAAAGCGAAGCATAAATAGAAGGGACAGCGGTCAGAGAAATAATTGAAGGAAATGATTTGTGCAAAGTTGACTGAAGCCAAATTGTCAAACCGTTACTGCCCCTATTAACGCCTTTGTCACTCGTGAACTGAAACTACTTATGGACTGACGCTTTGGTTCCGGAAGAAATCACGAGAACATGGAACCTTTGGAAACCAAGTTACATCTGCTATCAAATGATGTACGGTATTAATCAAAGTGCTCTGTGAGCAAACTCGTGAATTGACAGATGACTTACATGATTTTTTGGATTATGTTTAATGTTATTTGGTTTAGGGAATTTTGTGGTTGATTGTCATATTTAGAGTACGAGCAGTAGTTCAGTGTTCGCTAATGTAGCAAAGAAACAAAGTAACCTTGGGATAAGACGGCATTACAATTGAAATGATCATGCTATTACATTTGAAATGGGTGGATGATGTCATATGTTTTAAACATATATCGTTTTTGTGTCTGGTTCAAAAGAAAAGGTTGGAAATAAATGTGGGTGAAAAGTGAAAGTTATCGTCTATCATTGTAAATATTGGAAAATCAAGGTAATACTGTCTTAATGAAAACAGTAATTCCCTCTTTACCAAATGAGATAAACGGGAACGAGTTTTGAGTGATATAACTAAGCCCAGACTGCCACTGTCATTTTGGATTTCCGCCTGAGTAGATTTTGGTCACGTGCTAGGCAACGTATAATCAAGAACAAGATAGAATTTCATTTCAGGCCCATTTATCAATTTTGTGGTGTATGACTTTCGCATTTTAGTAAGTAAAATTTATTTTGAATCTTCAAATTGTCTTAAAACTTAAAAGAAAATTGTTCTTTAAAAATTCACTGAAAATCGGTAGCCAAAATTATTTGTCTAGGTGTTATTTGAATTTCGTGTTAACCTGTAATTTCGTCACTCGCCGGCACCTTTTGTTGCTTCACACAGAAAAAACACACGATACGAAATGCAATAATCGATTTTTGTCCCCAATCTCACGCCATTACAGAAAAAGCTTTTCAACACCTGTAAACTCCGAGCGCTTCGGAGTAAGTGATATTTTTAATGAATCTTTGGATTGTTTTCAAGTTCAAGGATTGTAAATTACAGTTTTATGAAAAACGAAGGTTGTTCTCTTATTTCAGAATGAATCCTCGCACGCCTGCCAGTCGCTGGCGCCGCATTTTGAAACTGAAACGAAAAAAATAAACTCTTTTAAGATTATCATTGGCTTCTTTTTCACCCCACCACTATTCTTAGCAACAAAGATCGCCATTCCGTTTGTTTATTACTCGCCAAAAACTATCAAATTTACTCAAAAGCTAGAAAAAAAATCGAAAAAAAGTTTACAGGAATCGACCAATCGAGCGAGCGAGCGAGTGCCATTCTCCATATCATATCTACAACCCGCTTTTGCGTATGCGCGCAATTCACGAGTTTAAAAGGACACGTTGTGATAGCTGTCATCATCCTGGCGTCAGCCTACGTTTTGAGTAGCTAAGGCTGAATGCAGGTTAAAACCGAGCTTCGGGAAAAAAGAAAAAAATGTCCCAAAGGAGAGGTTCTACTGTTGTCTGAAAGCCTGACGTCTTCAGCATATAGTAGATGCCTACATCAATCTGTTCATTTGACATGGCGACATAATTTTATACAATGTGCGGGTAGATCCAAGTCCCTCATGTTCTCATTGGCACTACTCCTTGTAAACACCATTCGATCGTTTGTGCAGCTTAAGAGAAACTGAAACCGAAAAAATGTCTAAACGGTGTGTCCAGACCAGTGGTCGTGAGCTGAGGTAACTTTAGTTCCAGTCGAGTTCCGGCTGCAAGTTGACGGTTGAAGTGAAATGATTATTGAGCTTATCCGACTGAATTAATCTTTTCTTGTTTGGAATAAAAAGTAAGCAACATTATCTTATTTTGACGTGCAGATTTACGAAATGGCATTCATAGGCGCTAGTTGGAAGTAACATCAATAAAGCATTAACCGTTGTCAAATTATTGAAAACTGGGCTTCATTAAGTTTACACATAAATACAGATAATACTTTTCAATTAAAAAAGACAAGCGTTACTAGGTTTTTTGACTAAACCGTCCATTTCGGTGGCAGTTAGCAAATGTTAACGTTTTTTTGAGAAACGTAGAATACTTTTTTAAGGAAAACGCGATGGCAATTTTGTTAACTTGTCATTTCATTACAAATTAGTGTCTTGGGTGAAAGTTTTCCCTTATCATCGCGATTTCCCGTTGGGTCAGAACGATGATTCGTACATACTGTCGTGCCGAGGAAGATAAATCATAAAGGCTAAAATTATTTGCTTTAGATTACAAGCACTGTCGTATTACAGTTGTCATATATTTGCTTTTCATTTATTTTGTGAATTTTGGTTTACCGAAATGTATTCATTACACGACAATGGTAAGGTTGAGCAGTTATCTGGAAGGGATATTTTGCTTTCTACAATATATATTCATATTCTTTGGACATCTCAGCTTTTTGGCTGATGGGTTCACAGAACATGCTCTCTATGTTTTCCTCGTTTTAATTCCAACTGCAGCATGAAAATAAAAGCGAAATTCATTAAAATCGATAATTGACAAAGTTGAAAACTTAAATTGGGCTGGCATACGAAATACTACTAAAACATAACTCCTGCTAATTGAGGATTTTCAATTTTCATGCGCACACAGCCTTTGTTTTCCGATAAAAATTGCACAAAGAGAGGAAGGTACAGAGCTGGACCTACCTAACAGAAACGAAAGCTGCGATGTCTTTTATGTTCGTTGATCGTTGATTACTTGGCGTCAAAAGCCAGCTGCAAAGTAAAAGCGTAGTATAATTGATGAAAACACTAACACACTTTGTTGACATTAAGAAACGAAAACTTCCATAAAACTTGCATACTATATTGACAATCTAAATATGAGAGACCAATCAGAACACCAGCATCATTTTTTACATTTTAAATATCTTCAAACTTAAGCTAGCCGTAACATTATAACCTCCTTAAGGGTAACGACGAGCTCACTTTTCATTGGTCAGGTCATTACAATCTGCACTGCCAAAAGACTACCTGTTGTGTGTCGCTCTGTTTACAGTTAAAGGGAATACATCACAACCTTTTTGTGATCTTCATCTTCATGGAGGACGAACGATATTTCACTCTAGCACTAAAGTATTGCGGTTTGGCAACAAGAGAGATTGTTGTAAACGCAGGAAGCACGACAAGTTGACGGAAAAAAATACGACAGGAACAAGTTATTTCTAGTGAACTGTCAAATTGTTTCCTAAGATTACCGCTCAAGACAAGTAATGAACGAATAGCAAGAAATAGACTTCGTGAGACAGGTGTAAGATACGCAACTATGGTAACAAGAAGGCGAAAGAGAAAATCCGATTTAGTAGATAATTTCCTTCCTGCTTCGCAACAAAGAGGGCTCGACACAGATTTAGCTCTGTCAGTTCTCTTTGAGTTCTTGGTTTTAATAAACACAAATTCCTTTTTTTTTCCTTTCTGGTATTGAAATGCTTATGATCTGTTTGTTGTTCAAGGATTCTGTTTCATTCCATACTTTTCCTTTTACTAAAATACTGATTTTTACTGAAAAAGGAGTTTCTAAAATTTAAAATCAATTATTTCAGTTTTGTCAACTGCTACTGAAAAGTAAAACTCGAAATTCGTTTGGGAGATGTAAATCTCTAGCAGATCTATAATTAATGCCCTCTTTCGGGTTAAAATATTCCATTTTACCTAGCCTTATTCTGAAAAAAAGGCAGCAATAATCATGACGTTCGACGGGAGCCTTGTGGTGGAGAAAACAAAAGGCAAACGCAAGACTGACTTGCTCAGAATATTAAAATATTTGTTGATATAAAAATGCAAATACCAGTGATTGTTCTGTCTTGCAAATTTATGACAAGAGCTCATGCTGAGGATAACATCAAACCAAATTGTTGTTTTGCCACAATTTCTTTCAC